GCCAGCGCCGGCCCCGCCAGGGCGGTGGGGGCCGAGGCCGAGGCCGCGCCTCTCCCGGGGAGAGAGCGGAGCCCCGGGGAGCCCGGCTGCGGGGCGCGTTGCCATGAAGTCGGTCACGCAGCCGGCTCGTGGCTTTAACTGCGATTTTCTTTTTCCCTTCTTTTCCTCACTGCTGTAGGATAAGTTAAAAAAATTGCAAATGTGAGTCTTATAATGTAATTGTGCCGCAGAGCTTGGAGGGATAATCGCTTGTACGCCAGGTTTTACAATACAAACCAGACACATTTCGTACTATACAGGCACGTTGACCAAAATTGGGTGCGCTACTGACAGGGACACAGAGAACCGCGAAGGTGAAACCTCGAAGAACGACAGAGCCGCTCTCTGGGAACGCTCCAACCCCACCGCCAGCGAAAGCCCAGATTTGGGGATTTTTAGTGTATAAAACACCTCCAAAAGGATTTTGGCGGAGACTCAAAAGCCTTTCAAAAGGGTCAAAACACAACTGACTCTATGTTTGTCTATCCTAGTGCAAGTGAGTAGCAAAAATCCTGCTTTTCCATAACTATGTTCAGTAACAGAAGGATGTTTCCCCAGATTAATAAACATTGCTTATTTTAGCCCCCTCGTTACTAAAATCTGCTGCTAGAAATACCATTCCCTTTCCTTTAGATGCGATGCCTGAGTATCTTGCTAGTGTCAATATTTGCCCGTTTCCAGTTTATGTCCATAGCTGCCATTGATCTAAGCAAACAGATGACAGGCTTAACCATATTTTACAAACATGAACAAGCTGCTTTGAAAAAGTTATTTCCCCAATGCTGAAAAAAGTCAATTTGGGAGAAAAATGTACAGGCGAAGAGGGGAATAAAATAGAGAAGTTTACAGGGGAAATATGGTGGGTTGCTAAAAAGCCTACCATCAAGCAAGAGGATAACTTTCCTTCAAAGCCCATTCCTGGAGAAGCGAAGTCAAAAACTGAAAAGAAAAAATTACCATGTAGAACGAACATTGAGGGGTGAAAGCAGATGGCAATCAACATTATTAGATAGCGTTGAGATTTCATAAGGGAAGCAAAAGCCGTAAGGAGAAAATCCATGCCTGGAAGGGCTATGGGCAATGAAGCATTTGTATATTTGGGAGAGTAAGAAGTAGTATTAGAAGAGAAGGCAAAAACGTATAAATGCTGAATAAATATTTCAGGTTTATATTTGGAAAGAAAGGGAGGATGTGTTTGCCAGATTTTTGACTCATAAAAGAGAGATTAAGCATCATCTCCTAAGAACATACAAAAACCAGCAGACGTGGAAAAATGGCACACATGGATCCCAAAAGAGTGGGCGGGAGGGCGGAGGGAATAACCAGCTCTCTGACACTACTTCAAGTAAATCTTGGCATACCAGGAAAATCTTGAAAGACTGAGTGTAAGGTCTTTCTGATCCAGAAAAATTAATTATGGCCACCAGGTAGTTACAGGCCGGTTAGCCTAACGTTAACCAACCCCATGAAAAGCAAGAGAGAAAAAAATCCAATGTATGGATAAAGTTTGTTTTTATGGGAAGTGGCCTGCCAAAGCAAACATGATTCATGTTTTTGTGAGGAAATTATCAGTGTGGTTAGTAAAATTACACAGCCATGGCCATAACAGGTTTTTCAAAAGTGTGATATTCAATGATACATGACATTCTCATTACACGTGTAACCTATTATGCACCAGATAAGATGAGCTTAGTTGCAACAGAACGTGTTTTAATAGAGCTCAATGCAAAAATATGACTCCAGGTGACCGAAACTGCCAGCCACTGTGGAGCAGAACTGGGGAGCGTGTGGTTTACACTGCACACAGGGAAGGATTTGGCGGTCAGAGTAGGAAGGAATTGTGCTGTACCCCTAGGGAAAAGGGCCCTAAAGAGGATGCAGCTATCCTCAGATGTTTCAGAGGAGTAACAAGTAGGAGTAGGGAAGCGATGTTCTTTCTGTATGAAGCATCGGTGGGACAGATACTGGAAGCTTTCCAGTTTTGGTATCTGCATTTTAAAAAGGATATTGAAATACTACGTAAGTTTAAGAAAGGAACCCTAAAAATAATTTGAAGTAATTCCTCTCTGGGGAGAGATTTCAGGTGCCCAGTCTATTCAGCTTTTCAAGAAAAGAGGCAATATGATTACATTGTATAAGTACCATCACCGGGATATAACAGCAGGTGCTAATAGGCTCTTTAAACTAGTGGATAAAGGCATAAGAAGAACCAAAGTTTAAACTAGACAACGCAACTTAGAGCAAAAGTAGCTCATTAAACAGCGGTTGTCTGTTGGAGAAAATTCAGAAGTCAGACTGTCCTGGGAAGTGAAAGACAATCTACTCTTACATTGAAATTAAACAAACAAACAAAAATACCACTGGAGAGCATGCTTTAAGTGCAAGATATGAAATTCTTCACAATTAATTTATAATCTAGTGGTCGCTTCTCACCTTAAAAGTACTCCTGAATGAAAAACAACAGAATATTTGATTACTTTTGTTGCTGAAAGCTGAACTACAATTAACAAGGTCAATGCTTTGACTTACAGTCACCCAGTTTGGTATAACAGTTGGTGGTGGTTCTTCCCATATTATTTGTTTCTGTTCACAGGAACATCTGAGGTTCTCTCTTTGCCTGGCTCCCCAGAGCTCTGTTCTGGTCCTAGCACAAGAACACCGAACTTTCAATGAACGTCCAAGCAGCTGTAAACATGTTTCCTCTCAGGCCAACAAGACATTTGCCACCACCTTACCCTGGCCTATGCTAACAACCAAACCCTGTGACTTCTGTCCCACTCCAGCCTCCACAGAAGCATACAAGGCACTCATCCAGCATGATCACAGATCACCTTGCCTGGATTACAGTAAAAAGCACAACCTCTACTTTGAAAATCTACTCTTTGAAAATCTCTACTTTGAAATCTTTGAAAAATACTATTGAAAATCGTATTACAGTGTCTGTAGCATTGGGGTGGAGGGGTGTATCTCTGAATTTTGGATGTTATTTATGACTTTAATAATATATTACAAATTCTCCTCCCCTTTTTCCACGCTTCTGCAGTGAGAATAATTCCAGCTGAACTATACCTTGTATAAAATTACAAGACCATCATATTCAAAATTGAGTGTGTGAAATATGGTCAATAAGTAGAAGAGAAGTAGCATGTGGGGAACTCCAGCTCCAGATTCTTGATATACAGAAACTCAGAAGCTGGCTTTAAGACCTGATAGTGAGCAAATGACAGACTTAAATTCACTACATGACTACCTCTAGTATGTGCCACAATACTTTGTTAGATTGCCCTTTCACAAGGTAAAATTCGTTAGTTTGTATTCTTTTTGGTTTATAAGGTAACTTTTTTATGCCTAGATTGTGCTGGATTGTGTGTCTGTACCCAAAATTTCAAACAATCTCAAAGGCAATGGTTACAAATTGCTTCAGTTAAAGATGAGGAATCTCCTCCAGGTTGCTAAGCCCCTCTGTTATGGAATCCCATGGTGTTTTGGAGACCTCTATCTCAGCCTGTTGGGACAATCATCGCCAAGAGGCAAAATGGCAAAAGGTTTAAAAGCTAGGCTTTCAAGGACTAGGCTGCCTAAATTCTGCTGAAGTAAGGATTTACCTGGAAGTTAGGAATCTTAATCCAGACGAATACTGAAGATGGCATTGCAGGGTATGGAAAAAGCCTAAATTAGGTGCGTTGGCTCCCTTTACCACTAATGGAAAGATCCTCCAGCAAGCAATTCAGAGCATGCAAACTTGATGCCTTATTGTATATAGGACCTAGATACACCCAAAGGTCAGTGATCCTGTGTTGAGCTGGGCAGAGGCAAAAGCAAACCTACGGAAAATACACACCGAAGGGCAGGTGAGAAATCCCACCTCTCTCTCTCCTCTCGGGAGGCTTCGGTCGGCAGCTCGGTTCCCTCTGCACTGGGTGTGATGAGTCCCCCCAGGGGCAGGACCCCAGCAGGTGCCGGCTGGGAGAGACTTGGGGTTAGAGCTAATTTCAGCCTGAAGGTTTCTTGATGCTGATGGACAGCAGGAAAAGTTGACTGAAATACCATCTCTCTGCAGGTGCTGAGGAAAACGCATTCTTTTGCATTCCCTAGCTATGAGACTGAAATTGATTCTTGTTTACAGCTGGAGAAGAACAGAAGAGATGTTAACACCAGGAGACCACACAAAGGATAAAGCAATACCATCGCCTCAGCCGTTCGCTGCCAGTATTGTGCTTTGAGTTAAAAAACCCGAGCAAGTTTGTTCATTTAGAGAGTTAATTGAGCAATACATCTTTTCTTGACCTAAGAGACATTGTTAATACTCCATCCATCTTCCTATTCATATGCTAATAGCTGTATTGCCTGTCACT